ATAATTTTGAAAAAAAACTTTGAAAAACAATTTTTTTTTTCAAAAAATATAGCAACGTTTGAGAAGTTTTTCAGTTTAAGCCCTATAAAAAGTGTTACTGTGCTTTAGATAACGCCAATAAAAATAAATGTTCTCAAGTCAGCTGTTATTTTGAAGCTACTATAAAAAACTTTTTTTTTTCGAAGAAATCTAAAACCTGGCAAAAAAAGTTAGAACCTGATTACTATTTGAGCATTTTTAAGGGGCGGTAAAAACACCAGATTAAGTTCTAAATAAATAAATAAATAAGTAGCTTAATTTTTACAGTCGATTGGCCCGCGCCCAATTAAAGCATTTATGCTGAGCGCTGGAACAGTGCTGAGTAATCTTAATAAAATGCTGAAGGAAGTAAAGTTATAAGCCATGTTTTAGCGTATCAAAGCTCAATGAACTATGTTCTTTATTGACAAACTCTTCCCTGATGAACTTTTTTCTTAACGGTTTGAAAGCTTTAAACTAAGCTGTGTTGACAACATATTTGAAAATACTTATTCTCAAGTAGAACACTTTTTCGTATAGCATAAAAATGAATCTATTTTTTTACAGCTATAGTACTACAAATAAATTAAAGCGGTGTATGATTGCTTGACACCGAATTTTTTTATTAAACTGATTTGATTCAACGTAAAACTGTGTTTGATTAAGTCAGTTTTTGCATGATTAATTTTTAAACTCTTCTTAAAATCAGTGACAGTCATTTTTTGCTAACATAATAAACAGAGTAACTGTAAAGCAGTACATTATATTTTAAAAGATTCAAAAGTGAGCAAGGAAAAATAGCTCCATTAAATGTAATTTTGATCAACTGCAACAAGAAAGAGGTGAAGAACTTTGTCAGTCTTTATAAAACTTACAGCAATGAATATTATGCAGATTCAAAAAATTTCTTGCGTGTTTCAGTAAACTTATTTTGTAGGTCTAAAAGCCCTCGTCCCGTAATAATGAGTCCGTATTTGCAAGAAATAATTAAAATCACCTTAACAATTAATATTTAAACTGTTCAAAATTTAGCATTGTTATTATTGAAAGCAGTGTTTAGTGTTCAATAAGCTTTGTTTCTTCAAAATATCTCGAGAGTAAGCAGCTAAGAAAGAAAAAAGAATCTAAAAGACGTTGTCGATGTCCGATACTGAGAATATTTACCGCCTACGGCCAGAATTCGAAACAGTCCTTTACAAAGCTAACTGGATGTTGACGGAAAACGTTGAAATAACCGTATCTCAGTTGTCAACCAAATAGCTGCTTTAAACTGATGAAATGCAGTGGGTGCACACAGAAATGAGTACATAGCAGGAGAAAGAAGTTCCAGTGTTTGAATATATGACAAGCCTTGTCCACAGAACTTCAAAATAAGTCATCTTTGAATATTTTGGGTACCTTACAACTTGTGATGACTTGTGTACGAGAATTCAAAGCTTGATTAGTCAATGAAAAGCCATTTTTTACCAGGCTTTTTCTAAAAAGCAATGCGGCACCTTAAATAATAATGGAAATCTACAACTGAAAATGACTGTAACCAAACGTCGAAGTAGTGCTACGCCTATGGCATAACACTGATTTGTCTCGTGCCGATACTACTCTGTTAATCTCCCATCTGTTCAACGAGTTTCCTGAACGCAAGTATGCTGAGACTAATACAACCAACACGAGTAACATAAAAAAATTTTTTTCCAGCTTCTATGATACATAATTGCTTGAGTTTTTTTCCGATTTTGGCGTTTTCAGTACTTTCAAAACTTTTTAGTTTCTGAAAGTACTGAAAACGCCAAAGAAGAAAAATTTTCTTCCTCTATTTTGAAACAAAAGATGACATACTCCAAAAATGTACCATTGAAAATTTGTCTAAAACTGTCTAAACGAACAATGAGTGGAATTCCAACGAACTGTCTTGCGACTGAAATAAGTTTACTAGTCATTCATTCTGAACGCAAGAATAGTATTGTTCTTCTTCTTTTGATCTTTAGAACCTTCAAAGACTTTCCATAGATTTCAAGAGAAGAACACTGATTATTAAGAATCTACTGGTAAAGCCGTTAATCAAAGATCCGATGTATTTTGCCTTCTTCATATGCTGTCTGCATTCGCCTCGTTCAACAGTATTAATTTTTATAAAATAAAGTGCAATAAGAGGTATGAAAAGGATAAGAAAAGCTCCTTAAATGCCATACCGGTATTGTGCTTCGTCGTTCTAATAAACAACACACTAAAACGTTTTTTATACTATTCTTGTTGCATAAAAAATAGGAGCTTTTTAAAGCTATTTCTGAAATACTTAAGAAAAGTTGCTTCAAATGAACGATTAATACGAGGAGGATGTATAACAACTGCAAGCATCACCTTGAAATAAAAAAATGGCTACCAAAAATAAATCTTTGTTGTCCAACACATACAACTAAAGCATATTTTGTCAAAAATGCCCTAACCGATGTTTTTAGAAGAAACAAGAAATAAATTTGTAATTAAAAAAACTGTGGACAAAACCGTAATCAATTTGATATTAATTATCGGTAAAAAAGAAATGTTTGGTAAATTAGAACCACTTTTTGTATTCCATAATTATTGTCTTCTAACGTTTTGAAAAGAAAGAAAATTTCAATATTTATAGGAAGAAAAAATTTCTACTGTATATGACCATTAATTCTTCACCAAATTCAGTCCTAAATAATAATACTCTGAAATCAGTTTAGCAGAATTGCTTAATCCACAAAGAATAGTGCGGAAACGTCGAGTTTTCCTTTTACTAAAACAAGTTTACTTTTGGTTCTTATTAAAAAACTTTTGCTGTTTTCAAAAATTAATTTCTTCCTAATCTATAGAATTTTCTACAATAAACGTAGAAAACTTCTGGAATACACTATACATTTGTATTGTACCTTGGAGTCATAAATTATGACGTTAGTAGTGTTAGAACTACGAGAAGGAAACAAATGTATCAAATAAAGAGGAACGCTTACCAGAGGTTGGCTTTTCCATTGCATCTGTCCCTACTAACAGTTGCTACGGTTTTGCACTCTTAAATGCTCTGAACAAAGGCGATACGAAACGTCAACAGGCTGTTACCAAATTCCTGTCAACATATTCCATAAAAAGTGCTTTTCTTTCCTGATGCACTAACATATCAGTCAGAAGTTATTTACCAATTTGGAGCCGCGCTCATTCTAAGAGATTGTGACAAAGAACAGAAAATCAAATAAGATATTCCTGTAGAAAAAAAAAAA